CGGACGGTGCAAATCTGGGTAATCTGAAGGTTTAGGGGGTCGGTCTGAAAAGGCCCCTCTGAGGAGCCAGAGGATAGAGGTCACTGATCTCCCTTTGAGAGCAGATAGGCCCTCTAAACCATCAATGATATAGGGAGTATCTGATCGCCTTAAGCCAGCCATACACTTTCTGCCCAGCTTCCCCCTTTAGGGAGCCGGTTAGAAAATCATAGGCCGATCAGTGCTTACAGCTGTTACGGTACATTCCAGAGTCTCCAAACAAGAGCTTAGAGATGAGATGGTAAGTCCAAATTGATATTGTAGCGGGAAACAGCGTCTGGAAACCAGCAATGGACTCCGGACACAGACTTCAGGAATACAAATCTTTATTCTCTGCGCAGATCTAGACCCAGGGGACTACTGTCTCCAAAACCTGAGTGGCACTTTAAGGGCGGTCACTACATATTTATAACAACAATTACGTCACATTACATATTTCTAATACACATATTTCCTTTACAGCTCTAAGCCAATCAACAAGCAGCATTTGCAATTTTACCATTCATGGTTTATGTATCCTGTCACATCCTTTTGTCATTAACTCATGATCGATTACTAATAGTCTTGCGAGAAGGGGGATCTAAGTCAAAGATACTGTCATCAGCATTTTTAGTTGCAAAAGTACATTCTAGGACAAAAGTCAGACGGCCTTTAACACACTACTGCTCTCTTTTGCATGTGTGGTTAAAATGCAAGAAGAAGGGAGAGGATCAGAGGCCTCATTATATGTAGATACAATAAAACATGATTTTAATATATTTAGCCATATTATCTGCTGCCACACAATATAAGAATAGGTGATTTATTCAAACACTGCAGTGGGAAGACATCAAGACAGCTCACAAACCGAGCTAACACTAAGGTCTTCTGGTTAAAAATACATCAAGCATAACAATTTATAGTCATGAATATGCATTCAAGATATAGGCATGTATAGGCGTATTCTGGCCATGATCGTATAGTTTTGTCTAATCAGATTCATATCTTTATTAGCAGCAAATAAGCAGTTAAACGGTTGTTAACATCATGTGGCTAGTGAAATGAGGAACTTCCAGAAGCCCATCCTTCCAGAATTCGGCCCAAACTAGTCTGACCACAAAGCTCTATTTCTTGCTTCAGACAGGGCAAGTGGTCAACTGTCATCTGGTTGTCCATATACTATGTCACAGGCTCTGAACTTCTGTTTCCATGGCAATAGCGGCGGAAGAAAGATTTGCAAGTGTATATCATCAGTCCTTAAAGTAGCATACAAGCAATATAGAACTGCAGGAGACCCCCATAGAGAGACCCCCATACTTTTACTCACAGCCAATCAGCTACATGCACTTTTCGGGTGTTCTGACAGCGATTTCCCCCGCTGTCAGAATACAATAGAGTTTCCACTAATCACCACCACCCCTCCCACTCTCCGCCCCAACCACCCCACCACCCTCATAAACCCCTCTCACCCCCAACCGCTACACCACCACTCTCCCACCACCAACCACCCTACCACTTTCCTACCCCCCCTCCAACCCGGGGCCAGGCAGCGAATCCGGACGCGTGCAGGACCCTTCCCGTGGATCGCCCCAGGTGCGGCGGACGCCTCTCCCTCGCCCCCGCCGGACGCCTCTCCCTCGCCAGCTGACAGGTGAGCCCTGATTGGGGAAAGTCGTCATGACTATGCCCAAGCATGGCTCTTGCAATTATCTGTGCCGTGATTGGGGTAAGACCTGCACCTTTCCTGTGGTCAGGTGCAAGTCTTCAGCCAGTCAGGGCTTCACAAGACGCGGAGCCTTCCGGGGCACTCGCCGGATGAACAGGGCGGCGGATGCACTGACACTTCGGGTGTTTTCCAAAACACAAATACCAATGTTCAAGTTGAAGTCACGTTTGGCTCCAACATTTAGGCCATCACTTATATACATACATATATAGAAGGTGAGAGAACCAGAATGTATATCCGATACATTCCTACTGAACAAGTTGTAATGTGTTTGTTTCTTTTTCTTGCCAACAGTTTCTTCTCCGTCGCCGCTATGATTACATGCCGAGCACCTTCCAGAAGAGGGAGGTGATGGAGTGCCTCTGTGCCCGGATAAGGGGGCCAGATGGCCGGCACCCAGCAGTGCTGCAATTGCAGCACTGTTGGAGTGATTTGAAGAGGAGGAGCCTGGAGTTCCTCAAAGACATCCAGGCCGACTTGACAGCCTCTGAGGAAGGGGCGGTTCCCCAAACAGAAGACGTGGTTGCACCGGCAACCACGACAGGTTTTGTTTTCTATTAATCCCATTAACATATCCTGGGATCGGTGGAACTGGGGGACCGATGATCTGAAGTCGGTAGAAGCCGCACACAATATGCCGGAGAGCGGGCGGGGAAAGCGCTGATCCTTTGACAGAGACGGCTCTTTCTGTGCCTGCTGTGCTGGCAGGGGAGCCGACGGATTTTTTTTCAGAGGGGATCTTTTAATAAGGGACCATTCTGATTCACAAACGCTGATGAACTCACTGGATCTGGTGAGTACACATCCAAAACGGGGGGGATACGTGCCACAAGAGAGGAGATCACGAAGGGAACTCTTTTATCACTTGCATCATTGAATTTCTTTTGAAATTTCACCTGACTTATTTGTTTAAAAGGAGAACTATGAGGTCAGGGCTTTTCCCCATAGTTCTCCTTACGGTAACGGGAGGACACAAACTAGCGTCCTCCCGTCACCCTAGGCTCAGTATACCGCGAGCTGTAGCTCCCTATATACTGAGACGCCGCAGCTGAAGCGGATCCCGACAATTGTGCCGGGATCCGCCCAGCTGCGTGAGTGACAGCTGGCTCTGCCTATCTAGAGGCAGAGAGCCAGCTGTACCCGTCCGTTCTGCCAGTCAGTGCTGGAG